GCTGAAGAAGCATTCAGTATAAATTTTCCATGCTAATTCTCTTCTGTCTGATGTTATAAACTTTCAGGTACCGTTCCTAGATTTATTAATATTAATATCTATACCCAAAGTTTTTAAAATATGATTTTTTTTCAATATAAATATTATTATAAAAAATATATCAGTGAGAAATAATCGTTACTTCTGTTTAAAAAAAGGTGATTTTCGAAAAAGGAATGCATAATAATAATTTAATTTAATTTAATGTTTACATTAAAGAAGCTAATTCAATAAAACTTCACGCTCCATTAAAAAAAAATTTGAAAGCAATTAAACTCAATCCAATTGTATTTATTTCAATTTTTTAGTTATTTTAAATAATAGGCAAAATATAGTAATAGGTTATAAACTATTCTCATACACAATTAGGGAGATATAGAATTTGAATTTTGTCTGTTTTTTTGACATGTATATTAATATAATAGTAACATGTCAGATTTTATTTCATTTTTCATTTGTAAGTTTGTGACAATGAAATTATTATTATTAATAGTGTAATGTAAATGATAATTTTCTTTAAAAATCTGATTTTAATATATATATATATATATATATATGCATACATGTATGTACAAGATATTTTTTTCCCTCGCTATCATTTGTTTCTTAGAAAGAATTTTTTTTAAAAAAATGGTATGATAGATGCAGAATTTGAATTGTTCAGATTCAAAACATCTTTCCCTTAAGAAATAGATAACGTTATTTGCAAGTAAGAGGTTTGTATATGTCTTAAAAAGACAATCATTGGGGGAAGTTGGAGCCTACCATGACAAATTGGTCATCTTGTGTGTGTATGTTATGATATTAATAAGAAAATAATTATATTAATAAAATTAATGGAAACGTAAGAGATTTCATAGTTGGTAAATTAGAGAGGGTGCAAATAATTAAAATAACTTTTCCTATTTTCTTACCGCAAGAAAAAAGTTGGACGAGATTGGTTGTTCTAAAATTCATGCATTAATTATGAAGACAAAGAAGCAACGAAAAAAAGGCAAACCTCCTAAGAAACCAACGAATCAATAGTCGGAATCTTTCATTGCAGCATTGAAATCCGTCAAATTTCTTTGTAAAAATTGCGATCGTCGCCATATGCCGTAATTAGTTTTTCATAGTTGCCATAATAATAATATAATAATTAACTTTAATAGTTATTTCTGTTTGAACTCTTTAAAGTCAAATGGCATATTAATGTATTAATGTAGTTATATTGTGCTCTTTCATACAAAGAAACTTGAGAATCCGTAATTATTTCCAATTACTTTTCTCCAAAACAATTATGGCAAACAACTATAGTTGACTATTATTATATCTTATATTTCATTTTCTTAGTAGTATAGTACCTTTTCTAAATTAAACCATAGGATTTCCAAATAATGTTCTTTTAAAGCTACTTCCAATATCTAATTAACCGATTCACTTAAATAATCAATAAACCATTGGAAGAAAAGAATCAATACTGATATTAATATATACTTTTATGCTGGTGATAATAAATAGTTTTTACATATCCAACACATTATATATATAATATACCATGCATTCTTCGAGATATAATCTTGTTCTGTCTAATCTTCTGACAGCATGTCTATAAGCCTCGTCTGCTTCATCTGCTTCTCTACGAGCTCGTTTATCAGGTGGCTGACTAGATGATGTAATAGTTGGGAAGCTCCAACCTTTTGTTTTGATAACTGTATCTTCTGTTTCCTTTAAATCAAATGATTTCTTCTTCCATTGAAAATATGACGAAGGACTCCCGGTAAATCTATTACCATATGCACCAACAAGTTTTATAAAACCTTGATCGGCCAAATCTTGCCCAATACTCTCAGCTTCACGCCAACTATCTGCAGTCGGATGATTTTCTTGTAACCATCTGGTAATATCTTCTCCGGAATAAACATCATTATACACTCCTAAAAAAGGTATCCGAACTTCTTGTGACTCAATCTCATCTCTCATACGTTCTAAAAATTTCATTATCTCTAGCTCGGTAAATGCCTGATCACCAAGCACAACTGCTGCCTTCATGCTTGCTTGTTGTTCCTTTTCTTGTTGTTTTCCCTTATCTGAAGTTATTTCCAACTTTTGCCTTTCCTCTGCTTCTCGATCTGCCTTCTCTTTTAATTCATCGGCAAGCTGACATTTTGTGACATAACTAACGCGTGCCTTTTCAACCTCAGCGCTCATTTTATCAAATAATTTCAAATAGCCAGTTATCTCCTCATTACTTGATTTCAATCTTTTATTATGCTCTTCCGAATACTTCAGCAACGGTTGAAGCACTAAATCATATATGCTTCCTGCAAGCTCCAAATGTGACTCGCCTAATT